AAATAAAGAAGAAATTTAATAGAAAGAGAAGTAGCTGTATAGTAAGGAATAGAAGTATTATAAATAGTAGAAATAAGGTCAATAGGAACTAGACCAGATAGAATAGAAATAAGAAATAATATGTGTAAAGAGTTGTGCAATTTAAAGCTATTAAGTATAAGAATTTCTTGATGTAAATTAAAAACAAAGTTGGTGGACATGTTAAGAATAATAGCATTTAAGATACAATTAGAGAATTAGAGATTAAGTAATAAATTGTTTGAATAGAAAAACAAAGAGTCTAGTATAATAAAAAACTAGTTTGATTACATTGGTAACAGAGAGAAAAGTAAGAGAAGTTACATTTGTGAAAAGTGTAAGAAACAGATAGTTTATTTAAGAGAATTTTACATGAAAGTTTTTTAAAGTAAAGAAGTAAAAGCTATATATAAAGTTAGAAATCTTTTAATTATTATTGATGTAAATCTAAGTAGCTTCCTAGTTAATATTAGAAGCAATAATCAACTATTATTGAAAATAATATTAGGATATCTAAAATGTTATGATATGAGTTTGTCAGATAGTATAAATAGAGTACTGAATGGAAATCTTAATAAGAAATTGGTTGATAAATGAAGTATAAATAGGGTTATAAAAGTTGTTAATTATGAATATTAAAAAGAGTATTATTTAGTAACTATGAGCAAGTTGGTTAGCAAGGTTATTAAATAAGACATCTTGGTGTGCAATAATTTTGTAAAAAGTAAGCTAAATGTTGTATGAGTTAATAAAGTTGATAAGAGTTTACCAAATAAAAAAGTATAAAGTATTTGAAGGTTATAGATTGTAAGTCTAAAAAGATATAAACAGAACAGTTTTCAAAAGTAGTTATAATTGCTGAAAGAATAGTGAGGATTTTAGCTTTAAAGAAGCATAACTAGAGTTTAACTTGTATTTGAAATAAGTAAATAATTGCAGAATTATCAACTTAAACTTGACCTATGTTCATAAAGCATTAAGAGGTATTAAGCTTGATAATAGAACTATTAGTATAAAATGAAATAGTAGTTAGGTTGTAATTAAAATTAACAATGGACTGTAAGTTATTAGTAAGCTGGTTAAACTAAAAGATGCAAAATAATTATTGTAAATTGATTATTAATAAAGAAAAGAGTAAATATGTAAAGAATATCAAATAGCTACAGAGTATACAATATCAAGAATATTGGCATGTAGGTTAAAAGTTTTGTCAGAGTTAATATAGTAGAATAGTTTTGTAATCAGGTTTGTAAGAATAAAGATAGTGTATTTGTTGACAATTGTATTAAAATTAAGATAATATCTGGAACATAATATAGTAATAGAAAGGGAAGTAAAATATAAATTTGAAAACTAGAACTGGTATAAGTAGTACTAGTAAGTAATAAAAATAAGATCTGTAGATATATTATGTCTTCTGATCTTGTCAACAATTATTTGATCATTTAAAACAATAAGTAACCAAGATTTGGTATTAAAGATAAAGTAACTAGTAGTATAAAAAAAGTAGTTTGTTTAAGATAAGTTAAAGTAATTATATAGAGTACATTGATGAAAATAGCTTGTAGTAATATCCTCAAGAATAGTAAACTATTAAGATATAACACCTTTAAGAAGCTTATTTAATCTAGAAAAAAAGAAGCTCTCTATTATTTAATAAGAGCAAAAAGGTTAATTAGATTAATTTGAACTATACAATTACATTCAAATTATATTATATTTAAATTATACTAATTATACTTCTATATATATATATATATTATAACTTTTCTTTTAATATCTAATATAGAAATAATTTCTAAAGCAACATGCATACATAGTAGCTTTGTTTAGCATTCTAAATAATACTTTAAAAGATAGGTATTAGAAATAAATATCTCTATATAAAATGTCTTGAAATTGATTAATATACATGACTTATTTATAGTTTAGTAAAAAAAACTTATAAATAAGCATATATATCTGTAAAATAAAAATACAATAACAAACAATAATAAAAATAAATTTTTTGACACAAAAATATGACCTAATAAAATTTAAAGTTCTCAATACTAAATATTTTGTAATTTTTATTTTTTTATTAAGTTTTTTATTAGACAGATAAAATAATAATTACTAATTATCAAAGACTTAATTAAAAAAATTTATTAATTATTTCTAAATATATAAATATATTTTATAGATTTTAATGTTTTATGCAAAGCTCCAAAATTTTAAGTTAAATTTATTAAAATTGAATGATGTTAGCTAACCAACTATATAGCAGTCAGACATTAACTTTATCAATAGGTTTTTAAACTTAGTTACTAAAATTCAAACCAATATTTAGATTACAAATACTATTAACTTCTTTTATAAAAAGTTATTTTCTTATACCAGAAATAGATTGCAATAAAAAATATGATTTTTCATAACTGAAATAATGTTTATGTAAATTTTTTTATTCCTGATTTTGTGCAACAATGTTGCATAACTAATTTATTTTAGATTTTTTTTTAATTATTCAGTCTTATTAAGATAGCCAATTTTACTAAGTGCTATTAGACTTTTTGGTTTTTTTTTAAATATTTTTATAAAATCTAAACCTAGCTCAGAATTTAATAAGCCTAATCTAAACCTGGTTCAAGTAACAATAAGCTTAAAAATTATAGGCCTATACTAGGTCTAAGCCTAGCTCAACCCCAAAAATTTATAGGTTTGTCTAGCACATTTTAGACCCTACTTATAATTAACTATATTATATTATATATATTAGAAAAATATACTATTACTGTTGAAGTTCAAAAAATACTATAACTAAAAAAGAAATTTTTGTTAGTATAAATATAATAAGAAGAATATTGTATAGAAATAGGTTACGTGTTTAGATCAAATATAAAAAACTATATCTGTTTAAAAAAACTAAAAAAAGTTTAGTGTTTATTAAAAAAAACTAATATTGAAAGATAAAAAACTGAAATAAGGTAATATAGTTAGATGAGATAAAGTTAATAATTTTTGGGTTTAATAAAAAGAATATTATTAGAAGAAGTTTAACAAACCATTAAGTAACTACCAAGTTTACTTTATAAAAAAATTTGAATATAATAAGATCATAATATAAAAGTGCTTTATATTAAGTAATATTAACAATCTTTGTTATATTTATAAAAACATAAATGATACTTTGTATCATTAAGTCTTGAAAAAAGACTTTTTAGAAACTATTAAGTAGTATTATTTAAATTAAAATAAAGTTATCTTTTAACAAAATAATGATTTTAGGCATTTTATAAGACTTACAAAGAAATGGTTTAAAGAAAATAATATAAGAATATTTTATTAACCATTATAATCTTTGGATTTAAATTCTATAAAATACTTATAGAATAATATGAACCATCATTTGAGAAAATTTAGATACATTAAAATGAAAAATAAATTATAAAAGACTGCTCAAAAGATCTGAGTTAAGTTAAAAATTGACATATATAAACATTTTATTAAATCTATACCAACTTACATTAGTAATGTAATTAAAGCAAAAAACAAATATATTAATGATAAACAACTATATATTTAAATATTTTTGTATTTTATATTATTTTTTAATTTTACTATATAGTAAATACAATAAAAATAATTAAAATAAATACATTACAAAAATGACAAAGAATGCACAATAATTTTTTTTATTGTTATATATAAAATATTTATATATTATAATACATACAATATAATGATTTTATTAATAGTTTTTTAAGTTGTAATAGCTTTTGTATTACAAGATATTTATATTTAAAATTTTTTATTTAGATAATGCATTCTATTTAGAAGTTACCATATATTTTGACTTTGAAAAATTAGTTAGAAAAGTACATTAAATCAGATTTTTAAAGATCACAAAACATATTTGAAAGTCTGATAATGATTCTTCTTATACAACCAATCATATACAAAATATAATTAATAGCAGCACTTATATGCAAGCTAGCAAAAAATCTAGTTACCGTTTTTCTAGGCAATACTATTGTTGTGTTCAGAAAATTGTGACTTGATCACTTCACAATCTAACATCTTATATAATGTGTGATAGGTAACCTTTCAAAAGAGGGTGTTAGATTTAGCTAGTGAGTAATTAAGGTTTTTGGTTACTTTAAGTTAATGAAGGTTAGTAAAGTAAGTCATATGAACAAGAACTTGAATGAACAATGATGTTTATAGGAGTTTACAGTATTTATACTAAGTATAGTGTTAGTATTTTATTATATATGATACAATGTAATTGGGACTTGTTCTTTTTAATAAGCAAACGAGACATTCTGTCTCTAAGGGCCATTTTAGCCTTTATTTATATTATCTTTCAAATTATGACTTATTTAATTACATAAACTCCACTTCTACCCTTTTTCTATTTAATTCCATTCCTCCAACTTATTAACATAAACCCTTATAATGATTAAATCTCCCTTTGCCATGAAATCTCCTTTCCTTGATATATTTAATTAACCAAATTAATGCTATTAATTACCCATTCTCACATGATGCCCAGCATCTTATTCCTATCATGTTATTGGGTCTAACACTATGTAAGTCCATAGTTGGTTGGTATGTGTTCAGGGTTGTAAGACTCTTTGATTGAAAATGATCAAGATTACATTTTGTTTTAAAAAGGTTAGCATAATACCAAACTATATTAATCCTCAAACTTTAACTTCATAGCTTGATTTTCAGGATTCTGAATCATGCTCAATCATATACATCATATAATAATATTATTTACTTTTTATTTTTAAATGGCAGGGAATATCAAATAGGTATGCCTGAAACTCTTACACTAGATAATTAATGATATTTTATTTGTAATAGATTTTTGCTTATGATTTCTTAATTATTTAAAACATTAACTAATTATAATATCCTATATGCAATTCCTTAGTTATTGTTATTATATCTAAAAAGTAATTTGTTAATTTTTATTCTTACAAGATGAGGTCATAGGACTAGACTTCAGTTGATTCATTGGTTGAGTCTTTGGTTGAGTCTTTGGTTGGGTTTTCGATTGGGTCTTTGGTTGAGTCTTCAGTTGAGTCTTTATTTTCAAGTAAATGTTGCACAATAAGATCATAGGGCCAACTTTCAGTCAAATCTTCAGTTGTATCTTTGGTTTTAATAATTTTTTTGATTGCAAGAAGTAAGTCTTGCAAAATTTCATCTTCATGCTCATCTTCAAGATTTTTTACATATTTTTTAAGTTCATGGATTGAAGCCTCATAATAACTAAACATTTAAATAATATATTAGTATATACATAATATTTTTAACATGAATAAATAATAATAGTTACAAAATTTCTGGAAACCAGTTTTTCTTTTTTCTTTGATGAGGAAGCATCCAAAAAAGTTCAATTTCAGCTAATATCTAGTATAAAATAATTATAAGTTATAATAAACTTATACATTTATAAAAAATAAACAAATAATTTACTTCTCCTCTTAACCGTAAAAAAGACTCTTCATTATATGTCTGATTAATAGCATTTCTGAGTAATGAAATAAACAAATTCAACAAATAGATTGTAGTGAAAAATGAAAATATAACTAATAAAAATGTCAAAGTCCAGTTATTGATTAAACCCCATGAAAAAACTGCACTTGAATCGCCTAAAAGCAAAAATTAATTAATTTTATTTGAAATAAATTTATTAAAATTATTATTTCATAATACCTGTTAGCATAAAATATACTGCTAAAATAGAAGTACTAAACATCATAAATAAATTTGTATTATCATCAGGAGTTTCAATAAGTGATGATTCTCCAATAACGCCATTGGATGAAATAAATTTATACGTCAGAACAAGATTCCAAGGATTATTAGCATCGTCAGTATTACTTGGCTGATCATAAGAATATTCACTGACAGGTCTTAATAAAAGATGTAAAGAATAGGCAAAGGCTAAAACAATAATTCCCAAAACAATAAGGAATGAAAAGATTTGTTGTGCTACTCCAATCATAATTGCAAAATATGTTCCAAAAAATTCCAAAGCACGGAAAAATAATAAGAATTTAATTTCAAGTAAAAAAGAAGCAATAGTCACAATCCAAATTTGTGGTTTTTCATCATATAACCATATGAATAAAGTTATTATTGGAGCTAGTATTGCAGCAAGATCTATGAATAAAGTTAAGTGAATTAAATTATATAATTAGAAACATTCAATATTATCACACATATAACTGTATTAAATTAATTCTTAAATTAAATATATATACCAAACCAATTCCAAGAACTAGCAATATAAGACATTGGTTTATGAATATATTGACGAGCTTCGAAAATAAGATGAATAAATCCAAAAAAAATAGTTGATATCAAAATAATTGATTGATAATGCCAAGGAATTGTATTTTCTGGAATTGTTGAAACTATTAAAAAGCAACACATAAAAATTAAATATATTGTCCAAATTATAAAATAATATCGTCTTCCATAAGTGTTCCACTTGAAGTCAATAAGGGCTTTAATATTCTACCATTTATAATAATCGGACGCATCAAGTGAAGTAAAGGAATTATCAGATTATGAAATAATTCAAAATAAGAATAATCTTCAGGATATGTAGCAAAATTTAATAAAGGAATCATTAACTTTACAGTTTTTTGTGAATAATTAGTAAAATAATTTAATAAATCAAAGAAGGAGATATTAAAATTTTACAAATTTTGGGATATTTATTTTCTAAAAGGTCCCATTTTTCAGAGATCCAAAAAATCAGGTAATCAAATGATGAAATTATAGATAAAGGCTTATGGTCATGAATTCCACAATGCTGAAGATGAGATAATATGGAATAACTATATATAGCTTTATTATAGTTATTAGGTACTAGTAAATTAATTTTAGATAAAAATTTTTCGGTGAATTTTAAATTTTTATTATATTCTTCTAATTTTGTCAGCGCAGAAGTAATTTGACTTGTAAACAGGATAAAGTTGTAAATATCACCACTTTTAAATGCTGACAAACCATAGTTTAAACAATTAGCAAATAATTTCTTAATAAGATCTTTGCCTTCATTTTGAACTAGTTGATATAATGCATCTTTTCCATATAATTTTAAAGCCAGTTCATTATTTATAAGTCCATCTTTCCAGTACCAATAGTAAGTTGGGGGTGGTAAACATTTCAAATTTGATTTATTGATCTTTTCAATAAAGGAAGTAAGTTGTCTTTTAGTTGATTGATGTACAGTTTCTTTTTCTTCTTCAAATCCATCAGTCCAAAAATAAATCATGCTAAGTGTTTTTGTTTGAGAATTTATTGTAAAAATTTGTATGCCTTCGGAGTAAGCAAATATAATATCTCCACTTTCGAGCAATTTATATTCTAAAATGTAACTATCTTTTTTGTCAGTAGGTGCGAAAATAAATTCTTCATTAGTTGACTTCTCACAAATAATTGCCTTTATAGTTGTTTGTTGATAATTGTTAAGATATTCATATGGAATAGTACTTATGACCCAAGTGTATGAATCTCCGTAGGATAATTTTTTGGGTTCATCTGAATAACTCTGAATTAAATTTTGATCTGACTCCCATTTTTCTAAGGTATCCTGTACAAATTAGTTAACTTCTTTCATGTTAAAAAATGTATTACTCACATAATGCTCTTGATTTTGTAAATGAAATTTCCAACTTTCATTATGTGATAATCTTTGAATCGACAAATCATTAATATCAAGATTTATAATAAAATCAGAGATGATATTATGTTGATATTCTTTAAAATTTTCATATGTTGGAGAATAAATATGTAAAAAATTTTTAGTATCTTGAGGTATAAGTGTGCGAGGATTCATTATATAAGTGTTATATTTTTCTGTATTATTTGCGGGCCAGAGATAAACAGTTGCTCCTCTTTTGATCCAATAAAGCAAAAATTGTGCAATATTTCTTTAAATGAACCTGAATTTTAAATAAAATTAATAGTTTCTTATATATAAATAACTTTTATATAGAATACTTACATTGTGCTACTACAGCACCAGATTCTGTTGAATAAACATGGATTAATGTTTCCCTATTTACTTCATAATCAGCTACTACTGCTAACAATTTGTTATTACCATTCATTTCTAATTTTATAGAATACGGACCTGAATTCCAATTTAATATATATTGAGTCTCAAGCTTCAGAGTTTTTAAATTCCATTGCATGATTACAAAGGGTATCTCAAAAACTAATAGCAATTTTCCATTTTTAAAAATAAATGAATTTGTAAATTTTTCAAGTTTAATAATGTTCTTGCATGTCCATTGTTGTTTGCCATGAAATTTTGAAAAAATATAGGCCCGATAAACTGGATAACATATGACAATTACCAGATCATCATTTTCAAGAAGGCTAATATCGTATGTATATCCTTTTAATCCTTGTGCATTTAATTCTTGTCTTAACTTAGTTGTAATGTCAATAATTTCTGATAAAATAAATTTGTTAATGTATTGTTAGAATTAAATCATTTGCGTTTAATTAATTTAACTAACCAAAATCATAAGGATCTGTTCTATTTATTTTAAGTATAATTTGTTTACAGTTTGAAACTCCTATTAAATCATATTCCATACTTTTAGACATCTCTTTACTAGTTATTAAAACAATTGTTTTGAGTTCTTCGGAGCTTATTGAATTGTCAAACTTGAGTTTAAGCTCTTCTGTGATGGACCATCCGACAATTGATTGATCTTCTTCACTCCAGGTTACAATATATTGCATGTTTGGTGAAAATACATATTTACTTATTTTTTTTCCTCTATGTGGCACATTACTATTTTGCTTTTCTCTATGTGAAGAATCTTCATCTACATCAATTCGTAATTCTTCGGATCTTGACGAACTCATCTTAGAACTTAAGAGTACTAAATTAAACGAATAATAATTCTATTCAAAAGACGTAAAATTCAGGATGGAAATTTCTGATTGTGATTTGAACTTATTTATACTAATATTTTGACGATGGAATGACTTGTTAATCAATATTTGAAAATTTTTCATCAGCCTTTGAAAACAATAATGAATGTCCGGAAATTCAATATTAATTAATTCAACAATGGCTTAACTTGTATATTTATATAACGATAACATGTTTATTGAATTATTTAATGTAGTAATTTTTTGGATTACAAACAATATTGTTATCCTTTTTTTTATATATACTGTATAATCATCGTTAGTCTGTTCCAGTTATTTATTATATAAGTCTTTATGATCTTTGTTGTTGAATGCAATAAATGTTGAAACAAATGGATAGTTAAGTTTATACTTCATAATTGCTAAAGGTGTTTATTATGTTCATTCCTTTTTTACTATGTTTATTGCATAACTTTATGCACATATCCAGATTTTTTATATTAGTTTATTTACAATACATATTATCACAGCCTCATTCAAACGTACCAATGCACTATGTTATAAATAATTAGTTCAACACGACACACAAATGAACAAATAAAATAAATATCCTGTGATAAAGTAATTAGCATCTGTGACAGGTTGAGTCACTAATTTCAATCACCGTCAGACTATGTTCCCAGCGTAAGACTTGACTGTCATAAACCATTAAACTTAAATCTTATAAATTCAAAAGTTGCTTTTTTTAATATTAAATAAACGAATACAGTCAGACCTTTCTAAATGCATAGCCATGGGGTGGCTAAAAAATCTTGCATTTAGAAAGGTATTGCATTTAAGGAGGTAAAAATCTATAAGTGTCATATGAGTTAGGAACAAATAAGGCCATGCATTTAGAGAAATCTTTCATAGACTATGCATTTATGAAATATGCATTTAGAGATGTCTGACTGTATTTATATAAAATAAAATAAAATAATGAATACTCCATAAACTTTTCTCTAATATATTATAATGAAGCAAACAGTATATTGTTTTTTAACTGTGCTAATTATTTTTTTTTTTTTTTTTTTTTTTTTTTAATATTAATGTTGAGGCCATGCCTCTATCTTTATTGAATATTTATTTGAAATTTTTACATAAAGTATAAATTTACTATTAAAAATATT